TTATAGATTATAGATAGAACATAAATATAAATATGTATTGTAATTTTACGATATCAGTATCCTGGAAACTATCCCTCACACTCTACAGGTGACCTTGTATCCTGATCTGCCACGGATGGATGACGACGAAATGGTCTTTGGCTGGCCAGACGGAGGAGGGCTTGCTTGTGTGGTTGGGAAGGAGCACGTGCCATTGCCGGACCGCCTGCCAACGGCCACCGCAGCTTGCACTCTCCCGTTTGGCCTGTCAGCGCTTCTGCCTCAGAAGCCTGGCAAGAATGCCGAAGGGCGAAGGGGTGGAGCATCTACGCGTGCTAAAGCAGACAAGTCAGACAAGGCAGAGGTTCCAGAGGCTGAAGACAGGCGCGAATCCGTATTGTGGGTTGAGGCGGTTGAGGCATGCCAATTTGTCAGTAAGTCAATACACTCGTATAAACAAAGCCATCATGACAAGTTTGTTGGATGAGTGTCTGCAATCTGGCAGGCCAGCAGAGGATGTGACTGGGGATATGCTCGCCTGCGTGTTGTCCGATGACGCGCAAGCCCAACTTGACCTTGCGCTGCAACTTGATCAAGAAGCGCGTGAACCCGCCCCTTCTAATGCCCCGCCTGCAAAAGCTCCTGCACAAGCTGGAGAAGAGGCTTCTGGCAGTCGCGAGCACCCTCCTAACGTCTTGCCGAAAGCAAAGGCACGGAGTGCTGTCTTTCAGGGGCAGCTGGGTATCATGGATGTTGGCGCGGTCAAGCGTGGCAACGTGAAGTGCTTCCACTGCGGAACCTCCATGGCGGTTGGCACACGAAGGTTTCAGTATGCATTTCGCCGCGAGAAACCCCCACGCAGCATTCACGTGGATTGCCTGGCGGCAGTTCCGTCTGGTGAACCCTTGACGCAGTCGATTAGCAGGTTGCGAGAACTTCTCGCGCGAGATTTGCCAGAGGACCAGGACAGCGCCTGTCGGGAGGCGCTGCAAACTCTGCGGTGCATGCAGGAGGTGCAAGCCTAGGCGCTTAAGTATCATTTCATGAGACTGATAAATCGAAACTTCTTCTAACTTCTAATTAACGTCTTACGCGAACAGCTCCAGGCTCTAGGTTCTGTGCAACGTAGGCCTTTTTCATTACCAGATGACTATGATTCGATGAGTATGACTTTGTTAAAGGAGCACAAAGGTAATTTCGAGTAATGAAACGAAAGCTTGTGTCCCAATGGCCCAACCCTAACCCTCAACCCAGAACACTACGGGCCCTCAAGTCTCAAGCGCAAACTATAATTGGATTATGAGCATGATCAGAACGCGACTAACATAAATTATTAGTCATATCTCGGTCAATGGATTTTTTTTTACGACAACCACTTGGAGACTACAGAAACTTGTTGTTTTGCATTCCGCCCCTATGCCTATGGCTATGCCCAAATGAGTATTTTCCCGTGGCCTAGGAAGACATGTAAAGCAGCAAGCTGCGTAACGAATGACGAGTGGCACTTACTGTTCTGATGCCGTTCCTCCTATAGCGTAATGGCTTGCTTAGCCTCCTATGCCTTGGCTGTGCTACCATGATGCCTGACCAGAGGACAGCAGAAGACAGCCTAGATTGCATAGCCAATTTCTTGCGAGCGTGATTTGTGCTGTGCACTCTGCTTCCAACTTTATAGACTGGCAACTTTGAAACTTCTAAACTTCGAACTTACTACTTCTAGACTTCTAGCTTTCTAGCTTCTAACTTCTAACTTCCAACTTGTAGCCTTCATGTTCAATTGCTATCCCAAGCTGTGTTGTCCCCTGGTCCCTGGTGGTACGTGGTAGTCGCAGCCGGAAGATTGTCGTGGTTTTGCATGGGTCACAGATACCGATGCCTGCTTGCAGCAGCATTGAAAAGTTGAGCCGTGCATGACTGGGAGCAGTGCTTGCAGAGTGTGTTGCTTGATATGTAGTGAGACAGCCCCTGGGCAGACTCCCCTGGACTTCCTGATGGAGGGATCTCTCATCAACGAGCACAACTGGCTGGAGGTGATAGGGTTGAAGAAGATCCCTGGGTATGAAATCCGAGTTCATACCTTGAAGCGCCTGCGCACGCACTTATGGCACTTGCGTGTTTCATGTCTGCGCCTAACATGTGTGTGACTGTATTGGCACTTGTTGCAATGTATGTGTTGGGCTGTATGTGGGTGTAGCAGATGCTGCTGTCTCAGGAGCCGGGACTTTGGCTTGCCACAGACAAGATCTCGGATATACATTATCATGCTGAGGCATGATCTGGTTGCGAAGAACCCAGATGCGCAGGCTTGGCCATCATGGCAGATCCCGTTCCTAAGAGTAGACGATCGGTCAAACTCAATTTCTTTGTGGGCTGACAACTGACAATCCTCAGGCACAGATTTCGCGAATTCTGGATCTCTGTCAGAAGGCAATTCCATCACGCGGAACAGTATCTGACCTCATCGACTACGAGCAGACTATCCGTCATGGATGGACAGAAGCAACCAAGGCGGAAGAGCCAGCTTTCTTGTATATTAATTATAGTATATTACATTCACGAGTGCATGTGACTATGAGCACATTAGTACTAGTCTGTGAGTCAGTGCGAGTCCATGCGACTCCTGATTTTGACATGTGGCTTCAGTCAGTCAGACACGAGAAGGCAGGGTTGGTTGGTGACACTTTTTTTGTGGCGTTGATGACACGCTTGCCGGTTGGTGCAGGACTTGGTGCTGCATCCGGCTGTACGCGATCTGAAAATGGGAGAGACGATCCCTCCGTGTCTTGGCTTCTTGCAGTGCCCGGATTTGTAGTTTCATCTTGCTGGCAGTCTGCTGCAGAAACCACAAGCCATGTTCAGTTGTCTGTGCGCGCGTGTATTGCGCAGTTGTGGTTATTGCCAAGTTATTGCTCTCGGGTATTGGCAGACAGTAGCTAAACTTCTCCGAGTTTCCATGCTGAGTCGTGCGCAGCTTGCCCCAAAATGGCAGCAGGATGTCCTATGTCAGTCATGAGAGGGTTGGCAACTGAGAGAGGTTGCAGTGTCAGCATGTGTTCTCCTTCCAACGAGTCTTTATTGGGTCTGTTACATGGTTCGTAACAATTGACAATAGTCCGCATGTAGCCTGTTGTCCAGAGCTAATCTTGCTGTGTCGCGTGATGGTGCGTGACATGACGGCGCCTGTCAGCAATGCTGCTGCTGCCACACTACCAGAACAGACTCGGACATTAGGTGGAGATGATGATGCAGCTGCATGTTCGGAGGATGAGCCAGATGTATTGATCATTCTGGACACACAGCCTACAGTCACGGATGTGGTCATAGTGTCCTGCCACGGGCCTCCCCTGATGTGGCCTCGTTGCAGAAATGCCGATGAGGCAGAAATTGCTGGCAGGGCATTGCCTCCTCACTTGGGCGATAGCCAAGAGAATGATCTGGAGTCTGTACGTCGTGAGTCGGAACCTGGATCTGAGGAGACAAGTGCCGCCCATGTAGATTTTGACCGCATGAGTGGTCTGGATCTGCCGCCAGAGAGTGGAGAAGAGATGGAGATGAGTCCCGAGGCTAGCGCCAGTCCGGCTTCAAGTGCTGCACACGTCCCTACGCTGACGCCGCCTGCACCGATGCCCGTGCCCACGCCTATGGGAGATGCTGACAGTGCTGCTGGTCCTCCTCCTGCTGCTAGTGACGTGAGTGATGATGAGGCAGCATCAGTAGA